AATGAAATTAGGCTTTTTTTGGGGGGTATCGCTATGCTCTGGGCAGGTACTTTAGGTGCAGCTGGAGCAGGTGTGTGATGGTGAAACAGTGCCAGGGGCTCGATGCAGATTTGTAGTTCATTATATCCAGCTGTGCATTTGTAGCTCTGACAGACCCGAGCAGCGCTGACACATCGCTGACACACACAGATGGCCGTTCGCAGCTGATGACAAATCTGGCTGGATTTTGTCAAGGGGGCTAGAATTAAGTGAATGGTAGCAGCACATTTTTACATTGGAGAGAAAATGGTGGCTTGTTGCAAAGACAAACGCTTCCCCACTTGCATGTAGTCCCACTTCTTTCCTACTTTGGGAGTTGTGTATCAAAAAGCTGAGGAAGGGGTAAAATATGCTAATGGAAGCCCGGTGATTGTGGGTGTGCATTGCTCTGCTAATGACTGTTTGCACAATTTATTAGGTTATTGATGAGTTTGGAGGAAACACTATTAAGCTTAATATTGTGGTAATGGGACACTGTGGGGCAGCACTGTGTGTGTGTGTGTGTGTGTGTATTTCCTGATGTGCACTGTTTTCAGTTTGTCTTTGTATACTGTGTTTGTCCCTGTCAAATAAAGCACAAATAAATAAATGAATAACATCTGCAGTGTTTATAGATCTGTCAGATTTACTGCCTTGAATGAGCAATCAAGAGTATATAATTTCATACCAACTATGCCAGAGAAGCTGCAGCAGCAACAAAACCGGCATCTGCAACATTAATTTCACACAATTGAATGAGCTTTACAATGAAATAAATTCCAAAAAAAATCAGACAGCATAAAGTCTTGTTCAACCACAGAGCGGCTGAGGGATACATTTTTGCATCCTAAAGAAACAGGCAGTGGTTGGACCTGTCTGCTGTCATAGCAGGAGCCTAATGGAACGTTAACGTCAGTTTCATCTGTGCAGATAGTGTGTGGTCTGTCACAAGGGCTCGGGGGGGCTATGGCTCTACCAAAAGAAGAAAAATGTGGCAGCAAAAGTTGTCTTGTTTGTATTTTGTTTCTGTCATTCAAGAAATGCATCTGCAGTCCCTCCTGCTGCACCTCCTGTACATTCCTGTGCAGCATTTTATAAAGGCACAGCAGTTACTTAAAAATGAGTCATGTGGCAGCTAATGTGATAAACAAAATTTACAGAAATGTTTTGCTAAAACTCGCAACAGAATCCAAGCTGTAGAGGTATTAACCTGACCTACTGTCTGTTTTTTTTTTTGGGACACCAGATGGGAGTACATTACAGTAATCTATTACCTACTGGTAATAAAAGTGTACATTGGACTTTCAGTGTTCTCTAGAGAGACATAATGTGAACTTGCTGTATTTCAAAGGCGAAAGAAGGCCGGGTCTTGAAAGCTGTGGAAATCTACCCGCGTATGTTTACGCTGTATTTTGTGAGTGGAAGTTCATAATTGTAATTTTTCTGTTAGGCATCCCCAGTGGACAAAGCAATTAAGCAAGCGTAGTAGCTTATAATAATAATAATAATGATAATAATAATAATCAAGCTGCGAATTGATGACATATGTATCAGGCGAAGTTGAAAGTAGTAAAAAGCTCCCCATGTAGATTTTTTAGTCTTTGTAATTAGGGAGTTGTTGTACGCCACATTAGAGGCTTTGGTGACAAATGACTTAATGAGCTACACAGGGAGTCGTAATTATTCTGCAATTAGAAATGTAATTACAGGTTGCTCCAATGGCTTGCTTGCTAGCTGGCTAGCAGTGTAAAGGAAGCACAGGCAGAATGAGCATTGCATTTAACTGCCAGTTAATCTGTCACACATGGAAAGGTAGACGGGGCTCCAATCACTACTTAAACCTGTTGATTGAAGTGGGTGCCGTTAAGTCGCTGAGCCTTGTAATCCATCAATGTAAACCCAAACTGGATTTAGAACAGCACCAAAAGCTAACCAAATGTAATAGATTTGAAAACGGGTTCAAATACTGTGTGTGGGTATACGTGTAATATGATTATTGTTTCAAACCTTTAAGGTGAAGCTGCAAGGTCATGATGTCGAGAGCTAATATGCAGAAACGATGCATTTACTATATTTATTGCAGGATGGCGCAGTTGGTTAGCATTGTTGCCTCGCAGCAAGAAGGTCGCCGGTTCGCGTCCCGGTGGGGGCACCGGAATCTTTCTGCGTGGAGTCTCCATGTTCTCCCCGTGCAGCGTGGGTTCTCTCCAGGTTCTCCGGCTTCCTCCCACACAGTCCAAAATCACGTTGAGGTTAATTGATGATTCTAAATTGTCCATAAGTGTGAATGTGAGTGTGCTTGGTTGTCTGTCTCTAAGTGTAGCTCTGTGATAGACTGGCGACCTGTCCAGGGTGTCCCCTGCCTTCACCCTAAGTCAGCTGGGACAGGCTCCAGCCCCCCATGACCCTAGTGTGGATTAAGCGGTGTATAGATAATGGATGGATAGTTTCATTGAGTTTAAAAGCAGATTATCTCCCAAAGAACTGTTTCATTTTAACCAAAGTCAATACTAATAGATCACTTTTTTGTCTACCTTTTAATTCTTCATACATGATGAGTTCTGTCTGTCTGTCTGTAGACAATCTTCACATTTCTTCAGGGATATAATCCATCTCTTCAGTTGGAGTAGCAGTTCAGAGCCATGTATTAGGATATTGCAGGGCAGGGATCAAGCGCATATTTTGTCACACAGCAGGGGTCATGCTCCTCATTCCCGGTATTTGTAAAGTTATCAAATGCCTACAAAAGCTGAAAGAAAGCAGATATTCTCCCCTCGATATGAAGGATTAAACCAACCCCAAAACAGCCTGGTACTTAATGTTGGTGTTCATGAACACAGCAGCTGTGTGCAGCTTGCAAGTGCATGCTAAAGTTTTTGATCATTTTGAATTCTGTGTGCTACACATCTTATAAAAGATAAAAATTTCTCACAGCAAACTACAAGCCTAAAGTAATACGATGAGTTCACAAGTTTAATACAGGCTAAAAGTTATACAGCTGCTGCAGGCAAAGTCATGAAGGGAGACTGACAAAAAACTGTGTGAATGCAGAGGTTAATAGCCTTATTAATATCATTGCCCCATCACTAAGGCACAAGTAGATCTGACTATAATGACAATCGTGTATTCTTTTAAACTAGTGTGTTGCTTCAGTGTCTTCTTTTGGAGTGTAAGACAAGTTGTTCTTGCACTGGCAACCCTGGTGGTCATTTAGTGGTGCATGCAGCAAGAAAAGAACAAAAAAAACATGAATGAAATAACTCAAACTGCTAAGTAGGCTCACTTGTTATTCTTATAAGTTCAATAACTACAAGGCTTTAATGCTTTAATAAGTTTGTTTTAGGATTATAGCCATAGACCGCATATAAAAGATGATGTAGCCACTGTGATATCACCCATTGGTTTGGTTTGATGATGATTCTGAAGCTTCAAGTTTGAAATTTGGCAGTCGCCTACTTGGTCTTTTGAAACTGGATATGACGAGTGAGGGATAAATCTGACTGAGAACTTGAGGACGATATGCCACCTGAATGGCAGTGACTTGTCAATCTCAAGTTAGCTATGCTTTGTCATAGATTTTTTGACTCTAAATGGGACCATAATTTACAATATAAACTTCATATTGTACTAAAGAAGACTTGAAAGTAGTGATTGAGATCAAAAACTTTTTTGGAAAATATTTACTGAGGTAACAAATCAAGCGGGACATACGGGCATTTTCTACTTTTTTACAATCTGGCTTATTTTTTTTATAGCCAGAGGAGTTGTCCCCTGCTGGTCATTAAAAAGAATGCAATCTTAGATAACTTCCTCATTGGCTTCACTTGTCAGACATTGACCATTTTTTAATGTACAATCTCAGGTTAAATTGCTATACGGTGCTCTACTGAGCAATGAAATAGCTTGGAGATTGCTTGTATCTCTAAAAATTCTCGCACTCTTAAGAGATCTTCTCATTATCTGACACCATTTCACAAGAGAGTTGACTGGCCAGTTGGCAGAGCTTTCATACAAACCAAACGAATCTGTTCCCCAAAACAAAATCTAAAATGGAGAAAAGTAGGTTTCTTAGTGTCGTCATTTTATACTAAATAAATTCCTACACTGTTTGGTCAACCCAATGTCTTATTGAAGGTTTGCTGTTGGCAGAAGCAGAGGATCACATGGTCAAAACGTATCCATCATACCACCATATTATTTATCTATTTTTACATTTACATTTTTTATTATCTTAAATAGGGATCTGTATAAACTTTAAATGGTTTTAAGGGACTGACTTCCTTGATTCCCTCATGACATTGTTAGAACAGTCCCGCTGCCTCATCGGGGAAAAAAAAAAGCAAAATAAGTGAGCATATTGTTCATCGTTTCAGGGTCAGCGCGTGTGTGTGCCATGCTCGCAGGCACTGTTGGGACCCATGCACTGTAGTACTATGTAGTAATGGAGAACTAGTGCCAGTGACGACAGATGAGGGCTAAGAGGGTATAACCCCAGTAAACCCACCCTGAGCTCCGGATGACCTGCCAGTCTGGCAACCCGACTACGCAATCGTACGTTCCAGGTCTCTGGCCCATTGAAAGCTTTGGGTTGCATTTTAAATTGGTGTATAAAATACACAGCAGTGTTTGGAGGCCCCTGTGAGCAATCCAAAGCACTGTTTGTGTATGACGTACCTCTAAAAAGGAGATTTATTATAGATCTTTATGCGTTTATAAGCCAGCTTACAAGTGTTGGGACATTAAAACGTCAATATATTAAAGGAATAGTGCAACAATTTGAGATCTAAACGTATTGCCGTTCTTCCTGGGAATTACAGGAGAAAATCAATACCCTTCACATTTGCATGATAAATATAAAACCACAAGAGCTATTTCGATCCCTGTTATGGATTCTGTTTTCAGCGCCAAGTACAAGTTAATTTCCCAACTGTCTTCTGCAAGTTGGAGGCAACACAACTGAGGAAGATTCTTGACTCGTGCAGTTTTGGGATCAGACTTTTAATTGGACTTAAATTCACATAAATAACATTGGTTCATATATATTTTGTATATTATACAACTTTATATAATATATATTTCCCCCTATGATTTACATTCCTCTCTGGCTAAAATTATCTCAGTTATATCTATGGAAACAGAAAGCATTGCATGAAGGCAAAACTGCTCTTTTTGTGCTGTTCATCAAGGTCCAAATGCCAAAAGGAGAGGAGCGCATTTCTCTTGAGTTGTAAAAAAACAAAAATGAAAAAAAAAAAACAAAAAAACAAAACAATTTCCCAAGTTACACAAACAGAAAAGCAAAAAGGAGAATCTATTGCATTGTCTCTAGGGTATTACACTGCACTACAAGGAGTGGGTAGCTATTGAAAATCATTCACCGTATATATTTTACTGTATTGACTTGTGACACAAAAAAAGAGCACTGCAAACGATCTGATATGCATGGCAATGAAACTTTGTGTGACTGTTCCTGTCATGTTTTTTTTTTTTCCATTGTAAAAAAAAAAAAAAGAAAAAGGAAAAAAAAAGAAGAAGAGAGAATATGTTTGACTCGATAAAAAATCCCATCATGAAGATAAGGAAAGAGTTATGAACCTGTAGCAAGGTCACGTAATCATGCAGTGACCCAGCCAAGCACACTTGCACAGATGAGTTGAGCTTGTCAGTCCAGATCACAAATCAACACTTGGTCGCTCTGAGCCTGGGTGGATATGGATGGACATCCGGAAGTCAGGTAACATTCAGTAATCTTCCTGACGGAAAAAAAAACAACACGCCTTCCCCCTCATCCTGGAGCTCCCACTGTTACCTTTGACCAGTGGATCATCTCTGTAATCGATACCTTCATCAAATAATCATGACTGATGCGTCACGCAGTCTCCCTTAATGAAACCTGCAGGTTGAAAGGTGCACAGATATTGTCGGCCATTGCATGCCAGAGTCTCGCTGCCTTTCTATAGCTGAGAGTTATAAAGCAACTTATAAAGTCACAAGAAAATTATGTGAATAAGTGAGTTTGCACCTGCTTTTACAAGACAACGGAATCACAGCCTGTCAGAATAGAAATGTTAGATGACAGTCAACATTAAGTACAAACCTGGTAATGAGTTAAAGGGAGTGAAAATGGCAATGAGGTGTAAGTTTTCCATGTCAAATATATGTTAAAATCTTGTTTTACACACAACCTCCAGTGTCGCAATCTCTCTGCACTTTTCCTGCGATACAACCTCTTAAATCTGCACAACCTATCACACACATATTTGATTGTCTGAATCAGTGCCACTACCTGAATATCAAACCGCTGTTGCCCACATGAGGCCTTCAAACCCAAACAAAAAAGCAAAGAATGGCTCCAGCTACTTGAAAAGTGACGGAGGATAAAAAGAGTTTGAGGTCAAGTCTGTTGTAAGCAAATGTTTGGAAGCGTGATGGAGAAAAACAAGATTCAGCGAACAAACTTGAAAGAGTTACTTTAACTACCCAGTGAACCGTGGGATCCTACGATGTATCATGCATTTACCACGACAAGGCCGACCTAAACGGAACATGGCATGTGTGGGTGTGTGGGTGTGTATGTGCGCGCGTGTGTGTGTTAATAAATCACAGAGGAAAAACACAATCATGCCATGACGTCGTGACAGACAGCAAAGTTAAGTGTTAACTCCCTCCTTCCCTGAAAAAGTCAACAACAGAGCTAACTTCTTAAAACAGCTATTAGTTCATCATCTTCATAACATTGTGATTAAAAAAAAAAATCCCATAAACATCATCATAATCACATCCCTTTTCTAAACACGATTATTTGATCATATGCTTTTGAAAAGAGTGATGGGGAGGGAAAGTCGCTGGTTGTGTTCAAAGCACAGTTAAAATAACACTTTAGACTTTACAGCAGGGACTTATTTTGTATTGCAAAGAGCTTTGAGTGACCAGATAAGGTGTTTTAACCATGTTTTACTGCGATAAATTTCATTCCAGTTAATATGACAAGCAGCATTAGTTCCTGATTATAAATTCTTTTGTAAAGATGTGCAGGGGGAAAAAAAAGGGTGAGTTAACACAACCAGCAGCAGTGCGAATTGTCACTTACCCTCCCCAGTACAAGCCTGCCACTCAGCTCCATCTATTTTAATACTCACAGAGGGGAAATAGTGTTAATTAAAAAGTGCATCATGTATATGTTGTGATTAATAATAAAAGTAATCGATCTTCTTTGTCATAAATAACAATTTCTTTTCCTCTAGAATTCAATAAACCTCTTATTATACAAGTTGAGTAGTCACATGATGCAGATCTACCCCCTGTGATCTTGTTCATACAGTATCTGGGAGCAACGTTAACACTTCCCGAAACTCGGAAGCTGGCACCCACCAATGCAAACGGGACTGATGGGTTCAAACCTAGGAGGAAGATCAAGGAAAAAGACTTTAGCAACGCCCACTGTGACAGCCACTAAGGATACAACACGTGAATGGTGACAACAGTATATTTGGAATGCACCTCCTTGTAACGCAGCTCAGAAAGTCCACGTTGAGCATCCAGCTGAATTAGCAAGATGCCAACGTCTAGCAAAGTAGGCTCAAAGACGATACATCTACATTTGAAAGAATTAAATCTTAGTTATATGACAAAATCGATACCACTCTTGTGTCTGAACATTGGGCCATTGAGTGTTGCGTTGCGTCGGTGCGCCGGAATCTGGAGCTCTAAATATATCAAGTATTTTGAGTTTTGAGAGTGCAGGTCTAGCATGACATGCAAGTATTAAGTCAAAGCGATATGCATCATTATGCTCCTTAAAGACTACGCTGCCAGCTGCACAACTTAGGAAATCAAGACTTAGTTTTACTTCCTGTGGTAACTCTGTTTCATGTATTGTTTACAGTAAATACACAAAAACCTACCAAGCTACACCACACCCTGAGCGGAAAATACATCAGTCAGATACCACCTTGTTGCAAGCTAATCTTAGTCATACTTTACTGGAGTATTTGAGGTTGTGAATACCTTCCATATATGCCTTTTTTTTTTTTTTTTACATCAAAGCTGAAATCTTTTGTCATGTTGTCAATGCAAGTATATGGCTATCTCCTGGAGGCTGCACGTGCTAGTGTACACCTGGTACACAAAGACACCAGTAGAAAAGATTTGTTTGTTCATTTTTGGCCAGCACTAGCCTATCCTGCTACTTGCAGCATTTCAAAGGCTCACCAATTTACACATAATACTTTGCTTGGTTAATCCATGATAAAGCAGAAATGTAGATTTGACACTTTGTGGAGGTTTACATGCTGAAACGAGAGGGATAAAGTCTTCAGTCGTAATGCATTAAGCTTATCTGGCTGCTGGTGCTAGCTTCATGTAGTGTGCAGACATGAGAATGGTACTGATCATCTCATTTAACTAAAGACATAAAATTGGTCCAATTTAAAATGTGTCAAATCTTATTACTTCACATATCACTTAAGTTTAATGTAAAAAAAAATGTGGTCAATTACAATCAATTTAAACTATACTCCAGTTATTTTTGATGTCTTGATTCCTTTACATTATGTCATGTATTTTTTTCTTGTTAAAATCTTTTAAAAATCCATCTCACTGTTCATGTGTTGCATCTTGAAACTTTAAATGGCTGACATGAGGATTTTCACCTTGGTCTTCTGCCTAGGGTCAAATCAAGAGGAAACAAAAGAAAAAGGAAGACCTTAAATGGTCCTGAAAACCAGGAGTCCAGTCCTGCCTAATGACTAACCAAAGCTCTCTGTCAGTGACTCCAGGGCGTTGCATGAATTTTACTGATGTTTGTGGTCAGGAGACCTTGTTCCCATTCACTGATGAATTTGCAAAAACATTGGATGGCTATAAACTAACAGGACTGACATTTTTCCAGACTGGTGTGCATATTTCCAACACTTTCTAAATCCATAAGAAAGTAACCAGTTCACTCATGATGACTGGAGAAGAGCTCAGTCACACTGCCATCATTTTTCAGCTCCCAATCGACCTTTCAGTCGCCGGACCAGTCAGTGGCAGGTCTTCATCCCGGTCAAGTATGGTGATTCTTGTCGGCACAGGCCCATTTGCTGCTGTTGCTGCTCTTGAAGATCTGAAGCCACACCATCGACAAAATCGGGGACAGGTAGCCCTGAGAGTATCATAACTGACTTGTTCCAGATCATGAAAGTGGGTACAACAGGCAGGAGGAAGGAGACTTCAAAGGTGTGAATGTGCTGGGAATTCATGGCATCATAAAAGGACAGTGAGTTGTTGTCGTAGTCCAGCAGGACGCCCAGCCGCCTCAGCTGCAGGCTCGCCTCCACCAGCATCTCTTTACCATCGTGGCGCACCATAAAGTTGTTGTTGCAGCGTGAGAACACCCATGAGGATGAGTTCTTGCCGCTCCATTCGTTTTTTGGGGCTGATTTGTAAGCCACGCCGATGGCATACCTGCAGGGGAGGAACATTTTAGAGCACATTAGTGATCTGAAACTAGTGTCCTCCTTAATGACTTTACTTGCATAGTCAAGCTACCTCATGCTGAGGACACACAAGATAGGCACAGGCCCTTTGGGTCTTTCCTGCATGAAGAGGTCTACTTCACAGCCAATTAGTGAAAAGAATATAATTAGGATAAGAGTATACACTGTGTGTGGTGTGCGTCTGTTGTGTGTGTGTGTATGTGTATGTGTGTGTGTGTGTGTGAGTGAGGGGAGGTTTGCATAACAGCCTAGATTTAAACTCCCAAAAGAAAGATATTTCAGTTTACCAAGCCTCCTTGCAGGCTTATATAATGCACTCGTGTGCATGTGTGTTTCTTACCACGTGGATGCTCCCAGTAGCACCTCCCAGTAGTGGCACCCGCTGTCAATAAAGACATTACCAGCAGCTCCATAGGAGCCTGTGCCGCTGAAACGCTCGGGGGTGTGGCTCTTCTTCAGCGAGCTCTCGTCCTTCTCCATGGTCAGACAGTCATTGGACAGACGTAGCTTCTTGTGGGCTGTTTTTGGGTCCAACTTGAACGGTTGACCTGGAAGGAGCCATAATTGTGTATTTTAAAGGCACTGTATTTTGATCATGATAATGTTATTGCCCTCATCAGCAAACTAGCACATCCTCATGAAAAACAAACACTATTCCAGAAAAATATTACTATTAAAATAGGTCTGTCGTGATTAGTCAGCATAATCGAAGTGCTACAGTTTCTGAAAATGGCGGCTGCAGCAGAGTCTAACTCAGTTCAGTGTATAAAAGTTTCCAAAGAGCAGAGGCTTCGACAGTAGGGGTGTACTGTTCAAAGTTTTCGTGAAGTGCCACGGCAACTCCAGCGCAATGCACGTACAGCTGAAGACAAAACACACAGGCGGTATTCAAAAACCAGGTTTAATGTTGTCTATTCGGTAGTAGAGAGAGCTTTTTAATATAGTAACATCCCTTAGATTAATTGAGTAATAAAAATAGTCGATAATCAATAAAAACAGTCTTTCCTGGCAGCCTCAAGCTGAAAATAAAATAGCAAATGGAGATAAATCACATAAAACCAAATCTAATAAAATGGCCTGCTTTGCCTGTGTTTAATAACTGCAGATCACAACTTTTTTATGTTATATTTGCTTCTTTCTTAATAATGTATAAATAAACAAAAGAAAAGGGCAGTCTGAGTGTAGTTACTGTGCAAATTTTCAAATTAAAGTTTTGTTTATTTTATGTACTATAGCTGTTAAAATTGTGCTCAGCTCTTGTACTTATGGAACTAGTCCTGTGTAAGTATCTTGTTGAACAGAAATATTTATTAGAGAGCTTCAGGCATTATTGGAAATGCATTCTAAATTTTGAAGAAGTGATAACTGTTTTGGCAGGCCTTTTGAGGCAACAACACAATCTGTAAACACCACTACTAATACGTTACACTGATCATTTTTGTCAACATTTGCCTGTTCACACTTTCTCATTTCTGGTGCAACATTCGCATTTATATAAAGCCACGTTACTGCCCCACTGACCCAAGTTCTGTTCTGGTTGCCACCAACTTCTGAGGGAATACGTGACTCTTCTAACCAAATAAAAAGCTCCACTATGTTCACCACTGAGTCTCTAACTGTGTTTGTCTACTATTTAGGGTTCATGGTCATTTAAGACTGTCAAGTGTAAAAAGGCAGGAGATACAAGATCAAAGAGGTGAAAGAGCTGAGGATAAGAATAAAAATTAGAGCAAGATTTTAACTCGGAGCAGCAGCAAAAGAAGAAAATAAATATAAAGTGGGGTGAGGAGTGCTTGCAGAGAACTCACAGGCAGAGACAGAAGAGGAGAATGTTTGAAATACAAGGGCGAGAGACTCAACTTCAAAGCCGCTCACAGCCTTTGGTGAAAACATTTCGTAACAGTGGAGGAAGCCACCCGGCATTTTCCTCTGTGCCTCCAATCACACAGACTTGGAAATTAGCTGAAGGAAATAGCCTTCACTTCCACCGCAGTAGGTAGCGGTTGGGGCTATTCAGTGGAAATGCTGCTATCCGGCTGCAACAATTCAGTTCGCAATGACACCAGTAATTTGGGTGTAATGGGTGGAAAATTGAGAGGGCAAAACTAGGTGAGTGGCAGAGAGAGAGGAGCTAAAGAGTGAGGCGGAGAGGAGAAGTTGAGGGGATAATATGAGACTGAAGATTCGGTGGAGGATCCCCACTCTACCTCCATCTGTGTGTGAGCGTATGTGTGAAGTGTGTAGGCTTCACGGAAGTCAGCCACATCCCTTCCAGACCTGACATTTAACTCTGACACCTCTCATCTCATCTCTCAGCCTCCCTGAGCCTCCCACGGCTTAATGAGCGACACAATGAGGACCCTGACTCCTCCTCCCCTCTCTCTATCTGCCCTTCCCTTCATCTCTCTCTTCCCCCATTCTTTCATTCTCATCCCCTCTATCCTCTCTCCACTCTCGCACACTCCCCTCCAATAATCTGCGTGGTGAGTGTGTGTTACTGCGTGCGGATATGAGACGACGAGGCCAATGTGCTGCTGGCAGCCAATTACATTAATGCGCTCTCTTCTTTGAACTGCTTATCGCTGCCAGCGCAGCCATTTCCAAACACTGGGGCTCTGTCATGCCTTTCCAGGGGATGACTCCTGAGAGCCCCGGCCTGGGCCTGAGGTTGGGGAAGGGGAAACACACGTGATGGTAGAGGACAAGCAGACACACACTCAGAGCATCGACTGCAGCCTGCACAAAAGCAGACATACAGTACAGTAAATTGCCAAGTGGAAATGTTTTGAACCAGCGCCAGGAGGATTCTTGTAAATGGAGAAAGTCAAGCATAGTAAATTTGCATTTGAACTGTGAATTCTTGGTATGTGAGAATCAATGTGCACGTACTGTAACAGAAGCCTGGCAGGTCACCGCAAAATGAAACTGGCAAAATGGCAGGTGTATGACTAAAAGAGCTGCTGTGTTTGGCGTGATTGTGATTTTGTTGGAAGCTTGTCAAACCAAACTGTTGCGGCTTTTCACACAATGTCTGTGGATCGTGGTTTGCAAATGGTCAACAATGTGTTCATTTTTACTTCTGTCTAAAGGAACCTGCGAGCCAGAATGAGTCACAAGCTCTGGTGAAAATAGTTTAGTACAGTTCCAGTATAACACTTACATTTTGTGCTCTTCCACAGTGTTCTGATTTTATCAGGTCACTCTGCAATACTTTCGATACTCTTACGTCTGAGTGTAATAAAGTACGTTTTACCTTGTGGCGTCCTACTTTTATTTAAGTAAAGGATCTGAGTCCATCACTGAAGCTCCTTCGTTCTGCAGAGTTGCCATGAAATGAACAGACCTAAAGTCACAGCGAGTGTACTCGTATTTGCTTGCAGCAGTTGGAGAACATGCCAAATTTGATTTCTTCTGGAGTGCTACACTGCCAGCCTAAAGGCGTAAAGAAGGCATGTGTGGAGTTATATATTAGGAAGAAGACCAATTCAAAAAGTGGATGTTTACATCTAAGAAAGTTCAGAAGCCTTTTCATACAAGCTGTCTGAAGAAACAACGCACGCATTCAGTGTATTCTTGACCAGAAAAACTGTGTTCCCTCCGGCTGCTGCTACACAGTATCTCGTTAAAGACATACAGATTGCTGTCAGATTGCATAACGCAAACAATAAAAAGCAGGACAGGATACTGGAAGAGGATATCCCACAGGATTTCTTAGCAGTGCCTGTGATTAGTCTCCCTCCACTTTGCAATAATACAGTATTAATTAGAGATATTTCTAACTGTCTGCAGAGATGATAACTGCTCTCTATTATACTGCCTCGGAGCTGTGCATTGTTACGGACTTGGAAGTCTTTAATGGAAACTTGTAAAACACAGAAAAGAAACAGTATCAAGGAAGGAGAAAAAAAAGAGAGAGAAAAGAAATGAAAGAGACTACTGTTGGGGAGCATTTATAAAACGTAATTTCATTCCAGCTTCATTCTGTTGGGTCCTTGTTGAAATACTTGCACTGGGACAGCATCTGGGTAATTGACTTTATTTCAATTCAGTCAATTTCACTCAAGCCTTTTCTTTTTTTCTTTTTCCAGGCTCACATTTTTGCTGAGGGATAGATTGAGCTGCCTCTGTAATGAGGGAGATGGAAAAAAAGATCCATTCTAGTGCATAACTAAACAATTACTGCAGTAGAAACAGCAGCATTAGAGGCACGGGGCGCTCTCTCGACACAGCAGCAGTCTGAAACAATCTTATATCTTTTCACAGGTTTCTGCACCCCTGTTGAACTTCCACATCATTGCCCTTGATTTAAATGCACATCAGCATTCCACATGGCTTCTAATTGTCTGATTCATACGTAATGGGGGAATGTGTTCCAGCAGCGATGACTTCTTTCATCTGCTGAAATACAACATGGCTGGGGACGCCCAACAGCACGGCTCAAGCATGAGGTGCTGCGTGAGTTCATGGCAGAGTGAGTTCCCCTCTATCACATCTTATCTTCCCACCTCCTACTGGGCAATTTTTTGGCTCTCTTTACTGAACTTCTACAAAAACTGAAAAAAAAAAGTCTCAGAGTAGTGAAAAGCAAAGACAAACAGTAGTCCTTGATCTTCTCCAGCTTCACCCTTTAATGAACTAGGCAGTGTCTTCAGAGACCAGTGCTAGAAAAATAATTTTCAGTGAGACTTCTGGGTCTGCTTAGAATTTCACTGTGATTAAGAAGCCATTTTTGGAAAGGAAGTTTCTGTGATGGTTCGTTAGAGTAAAAGCATGTGATAGATCCCCCCCTCCCCTCAACAAGAGTAAGAGTCGACGCTTTTGGTCTTGTGTGAAAAATGCAATCATTCATTAACTCAGCTACTCTCCCCGTTACACATGTCTTCTCTCCGGTTGTATCGGTGCGCACACATGCGCTGCACAAACTGTATTTAAAGGGACTTGAAAGCGATGTTAATCACATCAAGCCTTCCTTGCTGAGTTTTCTGGTTTTCAGCGCTCACATTCAGTCTGTCTTGGCATTTTACCACCCACCTCAAATTCTCAATCCCCCCACTTCACCTGCTGGCATTTCCACCCGCTGACTGAAAGGAGGTTGGTGTATTGAGCAAGCAAACATAAAACTAAATTCTTTGCTGTCAAGCGCAAAAAAACCCTCAAATGACCAAACATGGTGACCTGTTGACATTACTGACACTGATATTATCTTTGCTCTAATTATTTTTTTCAATGACAGGCCATCTTTCAGATAAAATATGTAATTAGGGAAATAATAATATAGCTGTCCTATACAGTAAAATCCAATTCTGCTGGTTTCTAAAGAAGACATCTTTAAAAATAAGATACAAGTCTGCAGTGTAGATTAAAAAGCTGGGATCTGTTGTTTTTTTTTTTAACAGATGTCATGTAAGAATGAAGATTTGTTGGTTGAAGGCTTGGGTTAATACCCATTTCTTGGTCTAGTGAGCACAACATGTAAAACAGCAGGAAGGTGTATGTGGATTTAGCTCAAAATAATAATATAGGAACCTGTAACTGAGTTTAACCATGT